CTTCTGGTAACCATAACCATTTATTACATGGCTTCATATGATCAGCTGACAAATACAAGTATGCACGGAACAAATGAAACAAAAGATTACCTCACTTACTATTGTTTCCAACCCCAAGCTGTGAACTACTTAACGTAACAATAGACTCTCAATTAGGCTAAACAATAGACCTTTAAAGTCTATGACATCATCAGTTGTCTTGAATAATTTTGCATGTAATTATAGTCACTGCAATTGGATAGACAGGAAATCTCTACTTGACCAGATTCTATTGTCTATTTCTGGCAATGGATGTTATGTCATCATGTTGTGAATTCTCTTCTAGTTTCATGTACCAATGTAGGTTAGAGGTGAGGCTAGCGATAGATCTCAATCGTTCATATTACATGGTCCAGTCAGTTCTGCTGTGTTTATATTAGATATTTCAACAATGGTCCTGTGTTTGCACTTTTGCATATACAACATCCTACTCCTATACTATATCTGGCCTGGTCTAGTGTACCTTGTATGTACGGTACTCTGCACAGTGTGTCACGGATTTCGTGCAGACACTCTCATGGGCTTATTCTCTGGGATAACCCTTTTTATGTGAAGTAATCTCTTGCATATCTACAGGAACTTCACCGACCCGCTCACACTAGTTCAACATGGTTACCATATTCCATATGGCCGAAAGACACCCCCAGCCCAAACTTGCTACAGGGGGTGACCTTTCTAGGGCCAAGGAATCTAAAGGATGCATTCAGCTTTTGACATTCTTTACTACTGGTCCTGGTCTCTGTTTATGTCTGAGTTTCGTTCCAGGGTACTTCATATATGGACGTACATAGTACAGACTTGGGGTCTATGGAACACAGTCCAGAAACTTGTTCAGTTTACCCTCTTTACCTTTCATCCTCACATCAAATGCAGTTGTGTGGATGAGGTGCAACAATGTCAAAACAGCAACCTGCCTCAACAAAGAGGGGAAAGGTCGAGGCTCCTGAACAGTTTGACAGTGGAAATCAGCGACAAGTTTGCACTGCAAAACATTACAGTCCAATCAAAGGGGTTCCACAACACGATAGTTTATTCGCTATCACAGATGCAGACTTTGGACATGGAATGACAGATTTCACATCAAACCTCATTTCCGATGATATTAACAACACTCAATGAGCTGTTAAACTACACACAGATGACACTGGTAGCACCATTCTGGTTGAGTTGAATTGGTTGTTTACTACTAAAATGTCAATTCCCCAGACAGCCATGTTCGTGACACCAGAGCTATTACACTTATATATGTATCCTTATCCTCAGATTAGTGCAGAGGGAGTGGCAAGCACTATGTTCCTGTCCTTACGGTCATACCAGGGTCATTGGCGATACCAGAGGCATCTTTTCTATGCCTCTATACCCAAACTCGCAGACTTCATTTGCCACGTGTCTAATCAGATAAGAAACCTCCATCCACAGAAGGAAACGTCATGTCTGCAATCAACGCCACACTGTGTTTGGAAAGGAACATTGCCAATGATGACTCCCATAAAATACTTTTCTCAAAAGCCTATCTTTAGTGCTGCAAAGCTTGCCTACACTTTCCAGTGGTCAAGGGAATTGTTATATCTGGTCACCCATACGTGAGATGCAGCCAGTTACGAGCTTTATACTTATTTTATAATTTCGACTAAGTAATCTTATGAACCAACCACCTTATTACCTACTGTGGAAGAGTTGGGGATTTGTACACAGTTTCGTAAACAGTAGATGATATCAATTTGATTTCAACACCCAATCCACATACACTCATGGTCGACTGCACTTGATTACCTAAATACAGTGATTCAATTACAAATAATTGTTGCACTATTTCCTGTTGCATTATTTTATAATGCCTATCAATTTAACAAATGTCCCGTGTTTTATTTGGTCTTATGTACCATCATATGAATTATAAAGTGAAAATTCAAACTTGTCCAAAGACAAAGATAGTATTTCAATGTCAGTGTAGATCAACAACTGTGTAGATCAACAAATTAATGTTATTGCAAGTATAAACCCGACAGATTAATCTATTTCCTTAACACTATATAAACCCAATTTGTTGTATGCACTAGGTATCAGATAATATAACATTGACATCTTAAGTATTAGAACCCAAAACCATCATTGGTCTCTGGCAAAGCCAATAATAAAATAATGCATCAAGTCAATATTTTTATAGTCAGTCAGAATGTACATCAGCTTTTATTTAATCATTAGTGTGCAGAAATTTAATCTTTCATCCCAATGCAGTTCTCATTTAAGCGGAAATAGTGTGTTGTATTTAACCTATCAAGAACGAATCATGGTGTTAGGTTACAATAAAGTGCATGTGAATTGCATATCGTCATTGTTCCGGATTTGTGACTGTCAAACCATAAAGAACAAATAATTATAATTTCACTTTTAAAATCCCCCATGATCGACATAGTAAAATATGAAAAACACCAGTAGACTATCCCACCTCCCCCCACATATGAACGTTGGTCTTGTTATTTTGGCTTCTCAGGTTTGCCAGAGTCGTTGGAAATGTTTGCAATATGATTACTAATCACTAAGCCAACAGTGTGACGAAGTAAATCATGATGTATCATTGGTGAGTAGAACACAAATCAAGATGATCCTAAAATACGTCAAATCACCGAAATTCACTAAAAAGAAGTTGGATGGATTACATACAGCATGACCTGTGGCCAAAAATTTAACGAAGATTGCTAATCCATTGACAGTTGGTCTACAGAAAAAAAAATAGTTTTATTGAAACAAAAAAGTTGAAAGTTTGTACGATGATGTAATCATTGAAATATCAGTTATATTTATTCTCAGACCACTGAACTATTTCTAAAAGCTACCTAGACGACCCCGATGAACACCCGATTTGATTTACGCTAAAATATATAATATCCTGTAATGTGACAACTATCTGTGACATTAGAATCACATCTGTTTGACACCAAATCCTCATTTTAACGGTGTCCAAACTTTAAAAAACCTGTGCATGATCTCCCCAATCTCCACCTAAGCCCAGGATGGTCTCACTGCATATTTACTGCTTACCAGTGGCAGTTATGTACCCGTTCCTTTTGGAAAACAAGACCAACAATCATGCATACACAAAACATAAGTAATGGAGAACCACGAAACCGATGGGTTTCTGGCTTAGAATCGAATTTAAAACCAGAAACTTCGAGGGCAGGTAGTTCTCATTGTTTGTGTTATGTAAGTACATTGACCACCATGATGATTCACGGACATGCACAAATACAGAGAGTCATCAAAACAACATTCATAGTCTGCCGCCGGGCCCCAGTCTGGGAAGGATTGTCACAAGTCTGTCTGTAGTGTGGACATCTTTATCATATATTCAATCTCAACCCCTGATTAATGATACTTCATACTGCCTAGGTTGAGTCCTTAGCCTAACATCTCATCATTAGTTCCAACCCCCCTGTACAGGTGTCTGACGTAAGCACATACACCTCCACTTGGCAAACCATTGGAGACCCACAAGATGTGCCACAGGTACTGACTGACCCTACTATAAGCAGCATGCATACTTACAGCTTCACCTTGTAAGTGATGATGTCATGCAATTAATGACGGACACTCATTATGATGAAGTATTTAAATGAATATTATTATTTGTTGGTAAGCTTTTGAAACTTCGAAAATATAAATCGCACCCCTTTTCTCTTTTTAAGATTGTGTGGTAAGCTTTCCATTGTGTTATGTTTATGCCAGTATCACTTCCAAAGTTTAAGAATATTCTGTAATGTTATGACCAATACTTTGCTATCTATAGTACGTCTATCCTACTACCTTCGAATATCGTCCTGGGTCATTTCACAACTTCAATTACGGTCCGAAGTTATGACAATTATGAAAACCAAACACAATTTGTTTGCTCATGATTTGTGTTCACGTGGAATATTCATGTAGCTTCAACCCCCTTATCCGACGTTTCAACCCCCTTATCCGAAGTTTCAACCCCCTTATCCGAAGTTTCAACCCCCTTATCCGACGTGTCAACCCCCTTATCCATCTCATGGATGATTGGACAAAAATAACAAGACACGGATTCGATTAAAAATAATTGTTGCATAATTTCCTGGACATTTTAAACCATAAAGAAGTTTCTATTCCATAATCAATATTATTAAACTAACACACTTTCGTAATTTCCTGTGTTAAATTTATACCTGGATATAAACAAGGAACACCTAAAAACTAACACATCAGTTTGTTGTCACTGATACAGTCAGCATGGTGGGTCATTGCAACCTTATCTATTTGTTAACTTCGTTGTACTTAGGAACTGTGGTCAATGGACAGAGCAGGGTACTGAGTAATCGGAATGACAGTTATGAAGGTTAGTACTCTACAAATGATTTGTGCGAAATATAATTGGCAGTCAATTTAATATGTTGGTTGTTATATTAATACAACTTGTTTGTGTCTGCTTGTCACACCACGCTGTGTTCGCTTAAAAGAAATAAAAAATCAACCAAATTAAAAAATAGTGTTCCAATTGAGATTGTGCTTCTCATGAAACAAACTCAGGGGTGGCATTTTATTTATGAACGCCATTGTCCCAAATATGAATGCCGCGAGCCTGGCAAGTGGGTAGAATATACGTCATTTTGCACTCCTGAGTGTGCAGTCGACCATAAGAGTGGAACCTACAATCTCAAACAAAACCCTCGTATAAAACTCTTCTTAGATATAAAGTATGGGTTATGTCCACAATTCTCGATACATTCTACACAAAATTCATAATAAAAAAAGGAACTATGCTTCTATTGTCAAAT